ATGTGTGGGCAGGAGCTTGGAGCAGAGTGGTAGGAGTGGGTTGGAGCTGCCTTCCACATCACCCTGGTGTAACGGTTACAGGCTCACCCTGGTGTAGCTTCTTGATCTGGGAGGATTATTCATAGCATCCCTTTTATCCCCTCTCAGAAGTATTCCAGGTTGGACAACAAATTGTATGGTCCTCTGCCTATTCAATTAAAAAAAAAATCTGTATTTGACATTACCTTTTTCCCATTTTTTTTTTCACTTACAAAAAATAAAAACACCAGCCTTCTGAAGGAAAGGGTTGCTTGGAACAAAGGGTGGAGCATGAGATGAGGGGTTCTGTGTGGTGTTCACGGAAGAGCAATTTTTTGTCATGGAATTAGGGTAAGCCAAAGACACCTACTGTTATCTCTCATTTCATTCCTTCCTCCATCCCATAATTGAATCTAAGGAGAGGACTCCAGGACCACGGCCGTTAGGAGGTTTTATGAATGGCAATCTGCCGGATCCGTTTGGGGGATTTTTCAGGGGGCAATGGGAACATAGTGCTATTTTATCTACCCCAATGTATTAGATGCCAGTGTGGACAAGGATGAATTTTCTTTCTCTTCTTCAACCCAGTGTATTGAGCTAAAGTTTCTTTCCATGTTGAATTATTCCTCTTCTTTTCTCTTTATAAGGGGGGGACTTGAGGAGGCGACATTTCTTCCTCTTGAGCTAAGTGCCTGGCTTCTCCGGTGCCTGAAGCAGTCATTTACGTACACTTGTTGGCTGAGACCTCCCCTTCAGAAACCCACTTCTGCAGCCTAGACTCCTGCCTCCTAATTGATCCCCCTGTTTGCACGCTGCTGATGACAGATTGTCAGCATGCTGTTTTCTTAAAACCTAAATCAAATCATGTCTCTCCTCTGCACAAAACTCTCTGATGGCTTCCTAGCTCCTGAGGTATAGAAGCTGATATCCTTACACTGCCACACTGCCCCCCTCCTCACCGCTGACCCCTCTTCCACCACACCTCTCCCCTTGCCCACCCCCTGCCTGGGCACCCATCCCACAGTTCCCTCCTCCAGGTTCTTGCAGAAGGGTCACTTTCTCACCTGTCTCTTCCCCGACCACCCTATTAAAATTGCATCCAGTCCCTGCCCTCCGTTGTGTCTTACTTGTCTCCATGGTAATTATTGCACAAGAGATGGTATGTATTTGACCTCTTTGGTAGTTTATTATCTATCTTTTCCAAATTCATGAAGGTGGAACTTCTTATCTGTTTTTTTCACTAATATATCACTGACACTTAGAACTGTGACTGGAACCAAGGAGGTGATCAAGGCATGTTTGATGAATAACTGAATGTGTAAATAAATCAGGTGGATGGCAGAGAAGGCGTATTATGTCAGGAATGAAGTTGTTAGCATGTCTGTATGGCTGTGTGTATACATATGGATGTGTGTGGTGTGTGTGTTTTTATACTTGAACTAATATTGTGGGTCATGCCTTAGACTGGGCACTGTCCCACTGGATCAGCAGAGGTGGCCTCTGCTTTGCGCTTTTCTCCTTGTTCTGTCTCCCTTTTCTGGAAAAGTTCCCTCCCCTGGTTATTTCCTCCAGTGCTTTTTCCTGAGTAACCTCCCTGCCCTCTGCTCAGAGCATCTTGGAAGCTCAGGATCTGAGGCTTGTAAATCTGTCCAGCTGCCACCAGGCTCATCCTCATACACATGCAATGGTTTTCTCAGCTCTGCCTCAGAATGCAAGTCGTGGGGGGTAGGAAGGAAGCCACCTTTGTATCCTGTCTGTCCTTAGAGTAGTAAATAGGACTCTGGACTCTGTAGCCTGCCTTACATTGATTGAGCTAGGTTATGCCCAGAAGTAAAGTTATGGGATTAAAACACCAAAAGCAACAGGGGCCATAATAAGGTGACCGTGTGCAGGGCAGCTCAATCTCCTGGAGCTGGGGACCAGCAAAGCTTTACCAAACAGTTTCCACACCCCAAAACCACTAGGCAACTACATGACGCAGAGGCTGGCCTAGCTGGGGAAGACTGATTGCAAACACGGACTATATGCAGTGTGTGGTTAGCATAGTATGTGGCCACAAGATATCTGACGAACTTAATAAACAAAATCAATAATGCAGTCACAAGTGGTGGAAATAGTACTGGATTTAGTGCCAGAGATGTGGCTTCTGATGCCAGGATGGGGTTGTAGACTTTGGAACTGTATAGCAGGGTTCAAATCCTGGATCATCATTAAAGCTCATCTATAAAAGGCATATCTTACACGGTTGTAAAAAAGGACTAGTGCTTGGTGAATTCATACTCTGAATGACGACACCAAGGAGGACTGAATGGGTCATCTGGAGTTGATGTCATCCCCATTCACATCTCAGCTCTGCCGTGTGCTCTCCAGACCTTGGATGATCAAATTGTTGCCTCTTGGGCCTCAGTTTCATTATATATGAGACTGAAGGCTGCGTGTGGATGATCCGTAAATATGAAAATTCTTTAATTCCTACCATGATCTAAGAGACCAGGGTTGCAGTCTGCAAGATTGTAGTCCCATGGCCTTGAGCAAATCACTTCAATTTTCCATGCCTTTTTTTTTTGTCTGCAAAATGGTTGTGCAGCTGGGTTGGTACTGTTCAAACTCTTGTAGCTTTAAAACTCTGTGGATTTTGAGATGCTGTGGGAAACTACAAAAGAGAGGCTCCAAACCTGACTTTTGCAGAGGGACAGAAAGTTGGGCCCAATGTGGCTGGGGTGTGGAAGGGCATGGTAGGGCTGGGGCTCAGGAGGAAGGGAGGTGGCGGGATTGGGAGGGAGGTGGGAATGAGGGCTTTCAGAGAGTACAGCGGTACTTCTGGAATTTAAATGGGATTCTTGTAGGTCTGGAGTTGTGCTTGAGAGTCTGCACTTCTATTAGACTTTCAGTTGATGCACCCTGTTCAGAGACCACATTTTGAGTAGCAAGAAAGAGAGTTCTTACTTCCCCAGTTTGGCAGTAGTGCCTCTTAGAAAAGGACAGAAGTTGATACCCTCTCCCCACTTAATCTTCCATGCCCCACCCCTAAGCCCCTAAAGCAAAGGATGTTTTAGCCATTGTTTTTTTCCCTAGTCTTCCCTAACCCCAACCCCCGCCTCACCACCACCACCACACACACACACACACACACACACACACACACACACATTCCCCAATGCCTGAGTCTCCCTCCCACTGCCTCATCGGGTCTCCCTCCCACTGCCTCATCGATACTTCCATCAGTAGTCTTTACTGCAAAAGTGATTTGGGGGGATAAGAATCTCACATCGTATTTTCCAGGCCCTTACTGCCTGGTGGAACTCCCAGAGGAACAGGAAGTGAGAATGTCTACACTGTGGGAGGGGGCGAGGTCATGTCCAGGGTTTCCCACCTCCGTGGTAGCTGCCTGTCCCTCTTCAGTCCTGCAGGCTGATGTTGCTGCTGCCCCCACCTCCACCCTGCAGCAGCAGAGGGGCCTCCCGTGGAGGCCTTTTCCCACCTAACCTCTCCTCCACCCACACGCCCTCACACATACCCTCCCTCCACCCAGAGAATGCCACCTTCCTGCCTTCATCACCAAGGGCTTCCTTATCACACTGCAGCCCACAGGGCAATTACGGGCATTTCTGAAGCCTATGGGGATAAGGAGCTGAGACTGCCACTAGCACATGCCAGCCTACCACCCACAGGCACCTGCCAGAGGTCTGAAGACATCCATCCCTGGGCACATCTGCAACCCACTGGCAGCCCTGCAGAGTGGCATTCACACTTTGCAAAGCACTGCCCCAGCCTGAGCCCCCATCCCTCCCTTCTTCTCTCTGTCCCTTTCCTTCTCTCCTCTCTCCCCTCCTTCCCTCCACTCCAGAATGTGTAGTTCAGTGCAGTTTATTTTTTCAGGGGAGCCTTCCCCCTACCTTTTTCTCTCCGCATATTTTGCATTTAGGCCTCCATAGCCAACACCCCATCTCCTGCTCTCCAGAAAAAAATAGCCCCTGGACAGCCTCCTTTGCAGAGAGAGTCTGAAGAAAGAAAACTTCACTTGATGGAAGCAAACTAGAATCGCTCTGAGCAGGGCATGCACCCAGCAGCTGCCTCTCCTCCCTCTGCCCTGAGAGGCGTTCTCAGGGCACTGTCTTCTCATAACATCCTTGTGCTTCCTGGAAACAATCTTGCCTTGGTTGTGAAGGAGCGAGGAAGGGAACTGGGGACATGGGACAGGGGTGGGGCTGTGGGGCAGATCAGGTCTAGGAGAGTCCCTTATTATTCTCAGGTTTTAGAAAGAGGAGATGGGGGAACACTTAGAGGTCTGGTAAACCTTCATTGGGAGAGTTCTGTGCCAATGAGAAATCTGAGTTCTGCATTTCAGGTTACCTGGTAGAGAAATCATATGGTGATATTTTGTTCACCCTAAGGACTAAGGGTCTGAACGTCTCGCTCCTGATTTATCTTTCTTTGGACTCTCTTTCTGCTTCCACCCATCCCTTCCTCAGCTCACATACTTTCAATGGCTCCCGTGTCCTCTCAGGGAAGGTCCTGTCTTTGTCCACAGACTGTTCCCTGACCACCCAGATTTTCTTACTCCTCTGTACTCAAAGTTTTTTGAGCAATCATACTTTTCATTTAACACTTAGTACATTGTCAGGTACTATTTACTGTGGCTTAGAAGGAGTTCATCGTATCTCCATAGCAGATCTAAAGCTCTTTAGTGAAAGAAATCACGTTGTGTGTGTTGTGTACTCCTGTGTCGTTCTTATTTGCGTGTGTGTGTGTTGTAAACTGTTTGAAATCTAGTGAAAACTAAAGATGCTCTTCTCTAGAAAATGCACTTATACTCAGAATTTTGCCTAAGAATTTGGAGAGGTTGCAGTTTTCTTTGTACCCATCAAAGAGTTTCAGATTGATAATACCTGACAACAGCAAATAGTACTGTTGGCTGAACAAATAGTAGGTGTTGAATAATCACCTGCTGATGTGTCCCTTTTTCTGTTTTCCCTGAACAGATTGCCCTGACATTCTCGATTGTCTTTGGGGTGATTGTATATCGGATCACAACTGCAGCTGCTCTGTCTCTCAACAAAGCCACGCGCTCCAATGTCCGGGTCACGGTGACAGCAACAGCAGTTATCATCAACCTTGTGGTCATCCTTATCCTGGATGAGATCTATGGGGCTGTAGCCAC